CACACACACACACACACACACACACACACACACACACACACACACACGGAGGAGTCTCCATTATGGTTTAAAACTCAGATGCCTGGTGGGACTTGTAATATCTCAAAGGGTTTTCTATGCTAGTAGCACAGCAATTATCTGTAATCTTGAACACTCTTGGGTACTAGACTCTCCCTGGCTCTAGCTCTGGGCATGACGGCAATTCTTTCTCCTGCCCTTCCTTTTAACCCTTCCTCATTCCTGTTTGCTCATCACTTGGGTCTTGTTTCTTTTGTCTCCAGATTGCTTTGTGGATGTGGTGGTCGGGTTTGATATTTCGACTCACCATCAGGGGCAGCCTTTGTTCCAGGGCCACCCTCATTTGGAATCATACCTCCCAAGCATCTTAGAGGCCATCACCTCTCTCAGAGGGGTGAGCTGCGGGGCAGGTGCAGAGGCACAGGTGAGCCTAGCCTTTAAGGTGAACAATGACCAAGAATCCCTTGCTAAGTTCCAAATCTATCAGAAAGCAGTATTTGACAGCTTGCTGCAAGTCACCGTTGATGGGCCATCTCATCTGAATGCACAGTTCTTGCAATCATTGTGGGACACGTTTGAGGAGACATCTGCGTCCAGGGGCCAGGTATCCTTTCGACATTCCATCTCCCATTCCTCCTTCCTTGTTTGTTCCTCCTTCCCCAGCTGTATCTCTGGCTTTCCATCATCCCATTCTCTGTTTTCCTCTCTGTAGGTGCTGCTGATCTTTTCCGATGGTCTCCAGGGCGAAAGCATCACAGCGCTGGAAAATGAGTCGGACAGGCTCAGAGAAGCAGGTATTGAGTTGAAAACGGAAACAGTGGAGTGTGGAGCATCTGAGCAAGTCTCTATCCTATGTGAGCTAGATCTTGGGATCTGGGCAGCCTCTTTCCAAAGGTGCTAGTGGTGACTTGTGCAGAGTCCTTTGATCAGCCCCCACTGTCCTCCCTAAATGATGCAAAGCTATAACCAAGTCCTTACACCTGTGACTTTTTACAGGCATATGCCATTGACCAACCTGAGCAGCTTGGGCTCAGATTGTTGTTTACTCTTCTCCTTGCTGTAACCAAATACCCGAGAAGTGAGTTGAAGAGGAGAGGTTTATACTGGCTCATATCTAGGCAGGGGGATACAGTGTGTCCTGGCAGAGAAGACATGGCAGGGGAGGATCCAGTGCTGACAAGGGGCTCTGTGGTGGTGGCAGGAGCATGTGGCAGCTGCTTGTTCACATCTCAGCAGAACAGGAAGCAGAGAATGAGGAATTCCAGGGATCAGGTAGCTTTCTCCTTTTCCCTTTTGTGCCCAGTCCAGGGCCCCCACCCATGGGGTGGTGCCACCTGTATTCAGGGCATATCTTCTTCCCTCAGTTGATCCTCACAGGAAGTATCTTCACAAACACCTTCAAAGCTGTGCCCTAGTAAAGTCTTAGGGGCTCATTAATACAGTCAAGCTGACAATGAGGAGTGAGCATTACAGGCGAGGTTAGACCATGTCCTGTTTCAGTAGGTTTGGCTCTTTATGATGTAGATATTCAAAAACCCAATGTTTTTGCTTCAAGTGGGTCAACTGTGGCACAGTTAACACACCAAAGCCCCTCACAAATCAGACCAAGGCTGAGAGTTTGGTGAGGTAGAACCCTCTCATTACCTTCCCTTTGCTACCTTAGTTTTTTTTTTTTTTTTTGAGACAGGGTCTCACTGTATAGCCCTGGCTGGCCTAGAATTCACTTTATACACCAGGCTGGGCTTGAACTCACAGAGATCCACCTGCCTCTGCATAAGCCACCATATCTATCATCTTTCTTAGTAAATCTCTCTCTCTCTCTCTCTCTCTCTCCTCATATTCTGTTTCTAGGAAGTCTGACATAATCCACTTCCTATTTTCCTGAGAAAAAGCAGGTTTTCTGTTTAGCCATGAGAAAGATAGCAGTGTGATTCCAGCAAGCATGTCTGACCTTTCATGTTGTAGGTGTCAGCTCTGGACTGAGCTGGAAGAGAGATGTAGAAGTTGAGAGTCATCAATAGAAAAGGAGATTTTATTAACTGTTGAATGGGGCCCATCATATAAAACGGCTTTGAAAGAGCCCCAGAATCACCTTTAGGGCTTTTCACAGACCCTCCCTAGAATCACAAAATTTGCTGTTTTATATCTGGATGGTGGCATCTTCTCTGTTAGGATTCTTTTGGTGCCTTCTCATGGTCCTTGGATTAGGCAAGGGACTGCAGAGTCCAGCCTCTGCTCCCTGTTCCAGCCTGAGCTCCTTCCTCACACTGGGCATTCCAGCACACACAGCTTTCCTCCTCCAAGGCATTTATGGTCCCCTTCCTGCCAGTCTAGAGCTCTGCATACCTTCCTTCATCCTCAGACTTCTCCCATCTTCCATCTCTGGTTCTCTCCCTTGACCAACTTCCATTAATCCTACAGAGTCAGCTTAAACATCACTTTCTCCAGAAATCCTCCTATGTCCTCTTGAAACTGTTAGGATGTTCACTTCAAGCTAGGACATTTATCATACCTCGATGGATCCTCTCAGAGAACTTCTCTGAGCAACTCTCTATTCTGTCCATCTTGTCCATTAGACCGTAAGTCAGACAGGCAGGAATTTTGTACCCCTGGTAATACAACAGCTAAGAAACAAATACTTGCTTAATGTGGGGATGGATGGAGCCAATGAGTTGGTAGAGGAATTAATGAATCACTGAATGAGTGAATGAACTGATGCATTCAGCTGAGACATGAATCACCCAGAATCTGGGTTCCCGGGAGATAACTTATTAACATACATTTCAGAAAATTCAGAACTTTACCCCCAAAGATGACTAATGACCCTCCTTTAAAACCACTTTTGAATGCCCAAGCGTTGCATCAGAATTGGTATGAGATATTGAGCACTGTTTTCTTCTGCTAGAGTTTTTCAGTAATTTATAGATAGTTTTTGTTAAATGTTTTTTTCTCAAGAGATTTCTTGCTAAAGTCAGAGGCCAGAGTCAGAAATGTGAACAGCCTGCTGTAGGATTCCTTG